AATAACCAGAGAGACAACCTTTTTTCATAAAATACTAACATGGTTCAGGGAGTCACATACCAGTTAACAGAGAGAATTTAATGTAAGGATTTATTTATTTTTTGGTACTGGAATTGAACCCATGACCTTATTAATGTACTTTAATCCTGTGTTACATCCCCAGTCCTTAGATAATAATTATTAACCCGAGATTTGGGGAAAGCTACATTCTCTAATGTGCCAACATATGAAGTGTCTCATGTGGTGATATTTTATTTGTATGTTAATAAATAAAGCATGCCTGGAGATCAAGGGGGAAAAGGCCAGCCATTTTTTAAGTAAACATAGAAGTCAGGCAGTGGTAGCACACACCCTTAATCCCGATCACTTAGCAGGCAGGATCTGTGTGTGTGTGTGTGTGTGTGTGTGTGTGTGTGTGTGTGTGTGTGTGTGTTCAAGGTCACACTGGGAACAGAGCCAAGCATGGTGACACACTTTAACCCCAGTACCAACCATAGAGACCCAGAGGTCTGTACAGATAGGCAGTAACAAGGAAGTAAGGTAGCTGGGCTAAGAGTCAATGAGAGGGCAGAACAGCAAGGCAATAAAGGCATGGGTAGATAGGAAGTAGCTCGCATTTGGTAGCTGCAGAGCTGGAGAGGTAAGGTTGGTTGGTGGCTCTCACTATTTCCTTGATCTCTAAGGCTTTCACCCCTATATTTGGCTCTGTGTTTTTTATTTAATAAGACAGTTTAGAAATTCATCTACAGTCTCAAGGTGAACAAACAATTCCAAGTTCAGGGCAAGGGAACAGTATGTATTTTGAAAGGACAGGGTAGCAATTTAACTAGTTTGGATACAAGACAAAGTGTTTAATTAGCAAAACAGTCCAGATTCCTTGGGCTCAGTCTTGCTGCCATGTGGACTGGGTAACCGTGGTGCAAAGTTGTGTACTGTGGGTTACTGATTAACGCCTCTAGTCTCTACCCATTAGATGCCAGAACATCTGTCTCCTATTCTATTAAAACTGTGGTAAAAATGTCTCTAAAGTAAAGGTGTCTTCCTCACATGACAGAGGCCATATACTCATGAACTCAGTAGCTGTGGTTGCCAGAATAAGACCTTCATAGAATGAAGCTGGTTAGCATTCCAGCATGGAGGAAAGCAGCTCATGAGTCCCTACCCCAGCTGAAGAGTTATTGATAGTTGACCTCTTGGGGGGTGGGAAAGAGTCAGTTTTCTTTAAGGGTGTGGCACCTAGTAGTCTGCTACACTCCAGTAGATGGTCCCACACCTGTACTATATGGACAGCACAAACTGACCCAATGGGTAATTAAAAAAAAAAACAAAACCCAACAAACAGAGTGTGGTGGTGCACACCTTTGATCCCAGCACTTGGGAGACAGGGGTAGATCGATCTCTGAGTTGGAGGCCAGCCTGCCAGCCTGTTCTACTCAGGGAGCTCTAGGACAGCCAAGACTAGAGAGAAAAAAACAAAGAGGGGGGTGGGCATTAAGTTAGGAGGCAGCAGGGAGTGGATTTGGGAGGACTGAGGGGAGGACTCGGGAGTAAGATCAAAATACATTGTATGTATATATGAACTTCTCAAAGAATAATCAATATACAAAAAAAGTTCTCAGAAAACATACTGCTTTATAGGATAAAATAGTGTTCAATTCTAGAATTGAAAAGGCCAACTAGAATCTATGAATTATTATAGTTGTGTCCTTGGATAGGTCTGGCAACCAAAAGAGGCAGCCAGAGAAGGCTGGCAAAAATACCCAGGCCTCTGGCAGGAACCTAGGAGACGCACTTCTGGCCCTTTCGAGGGCTCCTGCCTTCCTTATTGGGCCTTGAGAGTTGTAAGCACTTAAAGGTTATTTATTGCAGTACTCTTCATATTTCAAATATCCCTATAAAAAGGATATTTAAATAAAATATGCTAATATCAGCCGGGCGGTGGTGGCGCACGCCTTTAATCCCAGCACTCGGGAGGCAGAGGCCGGCGGATCTCTGTGAGTTCGAGGCCAGCCTGGGCTACCAAGTGAGTTCCAGGAAAGGCGCAAAGCTACACAGAGAAACCCTGTCTCGAAAAACCAAAAAAAAAAAAAAAAAATATGCTAATATCTACACAATGGAACAATCTTAAAAAGAAAGAAAGGCGTAGAGTCCTGTCCTGCAGCTGGCTGGAAGCTCTTTTGCAGGCTCTGGTATGAATGCATTGAGATGTTCACTCACCAAGATGCAGTCGTGTGTTTGAGTCCTACTAACGTGCTATGCAACCTGTGTGCCCTCATAACTGGATTTCCAAAGCTGCCTAACAACTTGAGAATGTATAATGAAGAAAAATTCGAAAGATTCCCTTTTGGAAGCAATCAAAACTCTCAAGGCTAGAGGGAGGACACTTTTGCTAGCCGGGCTGCTTGCAAATATTCAGGGATGCAGCAGTACTGAGTTCCCACTCATGCTGGGGTGGGCTTTTCAGTGAGGCGGCTGCCTGTGTGTCTTCTGTGCTCTAATACACTCACTGGTTCACTCTGTTAGCAGGGCTATTGTTGGTACCCTAACTGGGTGGGCAGACAATTGTCCATTTCTTCCCCAGGAAGGTCACACGAAAGGAAAACATGCATCATGTGGACATACTTTCTTTTCATCTTTTTGAGACAAGGTCTCATGTAGTTCAGGTTGGCTTTGAAGTAGGTATGAAGTTGAGAATGAACTTCTTAACTTTCTGTGTCCACCTCCTGAGTGCGGCTGGGATTACAGGTGTGTACTATCACATCTGGTCTAATGTGGTGCTAGAGATGTAAGCCAGGGCTTTGAGCATGCTAGGCAAGCTTTCTACCAACTGAGCTACATCTCCAGCCTCCGGGAGGACACAGACTTTGAAATGAAGTGGTTTGTTTTTTGTTTGTTTGTTTTTTATGGGATCAATGTAGTTAGACTCAGTCAGGATGTCAAAGTCCTTGCGAAGTTAGTATGTATAACAATCTTTTAGGAATCTCTAAGCAGAAATACATTGGGTATGATGGTATACACCATATGAGTAAAACCAGCACTCAGGAGACAGAGGCAAGGAGGGTCAATTTAAGTTCCAGACCAACCACGAAGCTGTCTCAAAAACAAAACAAAGGAAACCATAGAAACCACATATATACATACACAAACTACTATACATAAACATACTTTCGTCTCAGCTTCTCTGCATACATAAAACATAACCACTTATCTGTTGTAAATCAAGTTACCAATGACACAATGACTATTATCAACCTGTGTGGCTTAACAGCCACTTGCTGCTCCCTATAAATACTGAGCTCTTGCAATATGGCCAGCTCTACTGTAAATGTGAAATCAATGCTGATTTCCAAAGATTAAGTATTTAAAAATCAACTTTTTTTTTTTAAAGAAAGGTTAACTTTTTTTTGGGGGGGGGGAGGAATTTGGTTATGTAACTAGCCTACAAACTCCCCTGCATCAGCCTCCCTTATGCTGAAATTACAGGTAGGCACCACCACACTAGACTAAGGTATGAGAATTTTAACTAATTACTCAACGGCAATCAAACCAATGCCAAAATTATCTCACACAAGATAGTCAGATGTGGTGGCACATACCTTTAATCCCAGCACTCAAGAGGCAGAGGCAGATGGATCTCTGTGAGTCCCAGGCCAGCCTGGTCTACATATCAAGTTCAAGAACAGCTAGTGCTACACAGAGAGATCCTGTTTAAATAGAAAAAGAAAGAAAGCAAAAAAATATGTTACAAAATATTATAATACCCACAAGGGTGATGAAAGCTTAAGGAGAAATGGCTATAAATCCCCAACCATGGAGGGCTCCAATCTGCAAGCATGCTACTAACTACATCCCAATTCTCACAACATATTAAAAAAATAATAATTCAAATTTCTTCTTAGATCAATACCTTCTTTTTTTGGGATAATATTATCTTTTCAAAAGTCACTCAAATGATGTCTTTGGATTTTAAATATTTATTTGAAAACATTAAATACATTTACCTAAGTGTTATTTCCTATTTTTGACAAAAGTCCTGACACTTTATGCACTTTATGCTGAAAGATTTCAACTGCCTGTAGTTGGTCAATATTTAAATCTCATGCTCAAATTCCTTCCAAATTCCCAAGCATTCTTTCTTAATCAGAAAAACAGACATTCATGCATCAAAACACTTATCAACCTATGTTACAGAGTAAAACCCAGTCTCAAAACCAAGAAACACAACATAGGACAAGTTGTCTATCATTCACTTCTATACCTCAAACGTACTTCGCTTTCATACCTTAAAACAATCCCTGTATACTAGTCCTGCAGACTCCAGCGTCCTTTAAATGGTTCACAGACTTTTTTCTTGGCTCACTCCAGCAGTTTGCTGGTTAAAAGACCAAATCTGTCTCCACCGGTGACAGTCATACTTATTTGCGTTTAGATGAGAATCCACGCACTCCCCTCGGCGTTTGAGACGCCACTAAGGTGCACTTACAGGAGCACTCCACCAAACAGAATCTAACTCGGGTGTTTTATTAGGTTCGTCCCCTATGCTTCACCAGATGCTTCGCCTACAATAAATACCTTTTCCAGAACTCTATCAAAACCGGGAACTCTGAACAAGACCTTCATTACTTCCCGTATATTCTGGGTCATGCTGCTCATCGTGGACGCAACTCAAGATTCTGGGCTCTGCCGGAATGAACTCTAGAAGAGAGGATCCTGAATGTACAAGAACGCAGAAGGTCAAATCTGCAAGCCCAACCCGTTCCGCGGCGCGCTCTGGTCGAAAGGTCGCGCGCTCCTGCTGCCCAACTCCGGCAAGCTCCAGCACTACGGTTTGGGACCCGCTAGGGCCCCAGCGCGCATGCGCAGCCGCCCTGCCCTGTCCCCTCCCCACCTCCCCCGCCCGCGTCTGCGCCCCGCTGGCTGCGCAGGCTCCTTTGAGACCTAAGGGGGCGGTCTTCCGGCCGGAAGGTTGATGCGGAAGCACTCGCACGCAGCGCGCCTGCGCAGAGCCCGGCGTTTGTCGCCAGTCGCGCGGAAAGCGTCGTCAGGAGCGGACTGGCTGAGCGGACGCCTTGGCGATGGCGTCCGGGAGCGGTTCAGATGCAGCGGAGCCGGCAGAGCCGGCGGCGGCGCCCGCAGCAGCGGAGGCAGAGGAGGAGGAGGTTGACAACCCGGTGAAGAGGCGGCGGCTTCAGTGCATGGGGTTTGCGTTGGTGGCGAAATGCGACCCCACGATGGCCCACGCCTTCCTGTCCGAGAACGACTGGCAGATGGATGTAGGGTTGCGCTTCTCGCTTCCTCCCCTCTTCCCAGGTGGGCGGGGCGTGCCCTCCACCCTTGTGCCTTTGCCTTTCAGAAAGCGCTGAGCGCCTTCTTCGAACCGCCGGAGAACGACCCCGCGTGGCCACGCCAGCCTCCGACAACCTTCAGATCCGAGGCCTAGTAAGCGCCGGGGCCGCGGGCAGCTTGCTGGGGGGATGCTTGCTGGGGGGCTGCGTTGGGCGTCAGAAGACCCGACCTGGAAATAGAGACCGGCGCCCCCCGGGCTGGGACTATGAGGGAATGCTTTTCTCCGAGGGACCTCGGTCACTTCCAACGTGACTTGCTTTTTTGGGTTGGTTTGTTTGTTGTTTTGAGACCGGGTCTCACGGTGTAGCCCTGGCTGCTCTGGAACTCGCTCTGTGGACCAGGCTGGCCTCAAACTCAGATCCGCCTGTTTCTGCCTCCTTAGTGCTGGGATTAAAGGTGCTTACTATATTCAGGATGCTGAAGGAGACTTTTGAGTTTGATGTCAGCAGGTATACAATGTGAGACCCTGTCTCAAACACTTTATATTTTCTTCAGAATTGGCGTTGAATTAGCCTGGCACCAAGACCTTGGCTTCTGATGTTCTTTACTAAAAAGAACAAGATGACCGATTCTAGAGCAGGAGTAAGTGAGGTAGAGGATGAACATAGAATAATCTACAGTGCTAGAAAGTAAAGGAGTAGCCAGAGAATGTTGGAAATATTCCAGAATAACATAGGAACCAATGTAAAATCAGAGACAATGAACAATTAGAAACAGGTTGTAAGCTGCACAATAAAATATAAATCTGTATTTCATTAAGTACCAGCTGTTCATGGGACAAGTGACTATTGCAGTAGAATTCAAACTGCTAAATGGCCAAGGTTTGAGGATTTAGAAAAACCCTTTGAGAACTACCAAATAACAAGTACAATCAATGGATAGTAAAATTGGGATGAAATTTGAGTCATAAACAAGATGCTTCCATCTTCAAAAACCCACACAAAACGTCACTCATGAGAGACTAAAATGTTCCAGTTAAAGGCTATTAAAAGAGATAGCATATTGGTGTAATTTAGTTCACAGTGTGGATTGTAGAGTGTGTAGGTGAGAAAGTCTTCAGGGAAGAATGGAAGTGGTTTGGAAAAGACTAAGGTAAGTAATTGTTAATAAGAAAATGTTAGCATTTGGAGAATTTGGATGCATAGTTGGTTAGGGATTCTTTTTACTGTTGCAGACTCAAAAGTTTTGTGGGTTTTTGTTTGTTTGTTTTTTGTTTTTCGAGATAGGGTTTCCTCTGTGAAACAGCCCTGGCTGTCTTGGAACTCACTTTGTAAACCAGGCTGGCCTTGAACTCACTGAGATCCGCCTGCCTCTGTCTTTCAAGTGCTGGGATTAAAGGCATGCACCACCACCGCCCAACTTGTAGAATCAAAAGTTAACAAAGTGCCTAATGCTGACTTCTTTGAAGAAAGCCATTACTTGTGGCCCTGAGGTGAGTGGATGGTTAGTGTGCTTGTGGGACATCACATTATGAAACAAGCCAGAGTGACCAAGTATTTGAAACAACTCACTCTGTGAGAAAAGTGTTCCCTCTAAGGGCAGACACACACAAGCCAGCATGTGGAGGCAGAGGACAACTTGCAGCTCTCTCCACCATGTGGGCTCTGGAGGTAGAACTTGGGCCACCAGTCTTGGCAGCAAGCACCTTTACCCACTGAGCTCTATCTCCAGCCCAGCTTTTAGGATTCTTCAAAGAAAATTGTTCATAGGACAAGTATCCATTATCTGAAATGTTTGGGACAAAAAACTTTGAACAGAGGCAATTCAGAATATGAATTTTCTGATTAGGAATCATCAGTCTGTATTCAAACAGGGCAATGGATATAGCAAATCATTCTGAGAGGGCACAGTCTGTATATCTGTTGGAAGCCAGGGGTCAGATTTGGGTTCTTTAGGAGTAGCGCTCCTTGCTTCTTGAGACAGTCTCCCACTGGGACCATGGACTCCTCATTTAGGATAAAACAGGCCTCAGTATCTATTGGTCTCAGCCTCCCGTGGTGAGATTATAAGCATGCACAACTTCTGGTCTTTAATGAGAGTGGGGGCCAACTGAATTACCTCCATTGCCCCCCAAATACAATTTGTAATTCGTAGATAAAAAGAAAAAAAAAAACCTTTATTTTGATCTTTCCAGTGTTGATCTAACCAACGAGGATGCAAATGATACCACCACTTTAGAATCCAGTCCATCTGGACCTCCTCTAGAAGATAGCAGCGTTATCTCTTTCATTACCTGGAATATTGATGGATTAGATGGAAGCAATCTGCCAGAGAGGGCTCGAGGGGTGTGTTCCTGCCTAGCTTTGTAAGCATTGTCACTTCTGTGGTAGTGACTGTGATAAGTGTTTTAATAGTTCTACAAAGCAACAATTCAAATTTGTGTACTTGAAAATTTGACTTTAAGGTCAGCTCAGAATAATTGTATGAGACTTGAAGTGTTTTGGTCTGGGAAGGGCCTTGGGATGGATTGGAATACCAGTTTATGTTAGATGCATTCTAGAATTGTAAGCTTTGCATAGTAAGTTTTGTCCATAATTGCTGCCATGAAATGAAAATGTCCTAAAAGATCTGTTTCTGGCCTTGAGAGCTTTGTGACTAGGTAAAGTACTGAAGTTTTCTGGGGCTGTTATCACTGGACAGCTACAGCTTTTTAAGATAATCTGAAGAGGTAACATTGAATACATCTGTTGATATATATGACCATGGAAAACTCAGTGTAGTATATATAATGTTTTCTGTTTTAATTCCACTGGGGTGATGTGTAGTAGAGGTGCTGGAATTGAACTCGGCCTTATTAGGCAAGTATTCTGTCACTGAGCTACACATCCAGTCCATTTTTAATTGGTCATTATAAAACTGTGTAGTAAATAATACAGATAAAGGTCAGTATAAGCATTGAGTACTGGGTGTCCTGGAGGGTAACAGTTTTCTTATGTATTATGGAATTTTCTCTAGGTAGCTGAAAATGAATGATATGCTGATGTTTTTGTTAAATTGATCTTTTTAATTAGGTATAGTCCAGATGTGGTATTTCTACAGGAAGTTATTCCTTCATATTGTGCCTACCTAAAGAAAAGAGCAAACAGTTACAAAATCATTACAGGTAATGCTTCTCTTGCCTTCTTTCTCAGTTGCCTTTTTTCTTTGAAAAATAGATCAATAAAGGAGAAAAATCAAAGTTGGGCTCTTACAGCAAGAAAGGGCACACATAGTTTGAGAAAAATGAGCAAGGCACACGATAGTTAAAGGTTGATAGATTATTTTACAGCTTAATGTTAATAAATGGAAAAACGATTGAAATAAATATTTCTTTTTAGGAAAAAAAAGTTGTAAAATTTCAGACTTGTGTATTTTTAAGTGTGATAATCACATTGTAGTTATATTTTCTCAAAAAGTCTTTAATTCCTTTTGATTTGTTTTTTTTCTTTTCCAGTATACTTTCGGTTTGAAATTTTTCTCTCATTTTGGTTTTGCTAAATGTGTTGGAAATACAGATCACATCTTATAATTGTTATACTGAGTACTTTGGACTTTCAGTTTTACATAGCCTGTGCTTTTCAATTTTGATTCACAGTTGATTCCTGGGTGCTAAGGAGGGCGCTCTTGAGATTTGTGCCTGCTCCTCTCCTTGTTGGGTTTCTTTCACGAATCTTTTTGGGATTCTTATTTTGTACTTTGTATTCTGTATCCTATGCTTCTCCCCTTCTCCCCTCTTTTTTTTCATTTCAGTACTTTTTTTTTTTTGAGACAGGTTCTCACTGTGTAGCTCTGGCTTTCCCTTTCTCACTATGTAGATCAAGCTGGCCTTGAACTCACAGAACTCCATCTCATCTCCCTTTGCCTGTGCTCGGATTAAAGGTGTGTGCCACCACACCCAGCTGGAGCCATTTTCTGCTTGATTAGTACATGGGTAGTGGAGTAGGGTTTTTTGTTTGGTTTTGTATTTTTAATCCTACCATATTTGAAAACACCTGTATTGTAGCCTTGTAGTTAGTGGAGTGGACATAAGTTTCTAGGTCAGAAGCAGTGTTTTCTGAGTTTGGAAGCATTGATTCAGTGACTTTGGTTTCTGAGAATGGTCAGTCTGCTGCCGCTATGATTCTGCCCTTTCCCTACTCCATTCTCTGGAAGTTTGAGGACCTCAGCTTAAGCCCTGATGTTCTTTCTACCTTTTCTTCATTTATTGTACTGAATGGTTGTTGGAGGGTTTGGTTAGAGATTTGGAAGATCCCCATTTCCCCATCTTTCCTCATCTACTTTTCCTTCTTTTTTCCTACATTCCCCCTAATGCTTCTCCTCTGCCTCCTTCCTCGTCTGTCATTGTTCTTTTTCCTTTCTCTTTTGAAAGCCCCCGTAAGTTGTAAAACTCCATAAATCCTTTATTTCCATATCTTCCATAAGTTCCCATATTTAATTTCTTAGGCTACTTGTTCATGGTTTATGGCATGTACACTTTGATTTATGGATGCAGTATCATCTCTGAATACATGGCTTTGTTTTTCTGTTTTGGGTTTTAATGTCTTTGATTTGGTGAGCCACACTTATTTATTATGTGTATAGGTGTTCTGCCTGTATGTATGTATGCATGCATGCATGCATGCGTGTACGCTTGTGCACCACGTGTGCCTGGTGTCTACCGAAGGCAGAAGAGGACGTTGGATCCCCTGGAACTTGAATTACAGATGGTTGAGAGCTGCCATGCTCTTCTGGGTCCTCTAGAAGAACAGCCCAAACTCCTAACTGTTGAGCTGTCTCTTTAGCCCTTGTTATATTTCTTTGATTAAAGGAGAGGAGTTGAGAGTGAGTTTCTGAAGAGGAGAAGATTCTGGTTTTACAGTGTGCAGTATTTATGAGGATACTTTGCTTTTGAACTCTATTTTGTCCCTTCTTCCTTCTGAGAAGCTCCCTATGTTCTTGAACTTGGAGATCTGCCTCCTTCCTCCTGGTGCTAGGATTGCATGAGTACACCCCCACACCCAGCTTCATTTCCCTCCTTTTGTTCTTTTTAGTTGTGTTAGATTGGTATTTTCATGTCATCATAAACCTGGTCCTTTATGTATAGGGATTCTTGACTCTTGGTTCACATTTAAATTCCAGATCCCTGTTAAAACTTGTTAGTTTATTATCCCTGAGAAAGGCTAAGTACTGCACTTTACTAATAGAAAATAAATTTTGGTATAGCCAAATGGCTTGTTCTGTGGTGGAGAGACTTTAATCTGAGACCATTCTTTTTCCTAAAAGAGATTTCCTGAGTTGGGCATGAGGCACTCATCCGAGTACTGCAACTCATTCCCTTTTCTCTGTTGACAACAACTGAGCAGTAGGTGGTGGGGTGTATTCAGTGTTTTGGTATTGAATAGGTCATCTACAAGCTGGGTGATGGTGGCGCACGTCTTTAATCCCAGCACTTGGGAGGCAGAGGCAGGTGGATCTCTGGGAGTTTGAGGCCAGCCTGGTCTACAGAGCAAGTTCCAGGACAGACTCCAAAGTTATACAGAGAAACCCTGTCTGGGGGGGGGGGGGGGGGAGTCATCTACAAATGTGTTGGACTGCATTCGTGGCTGTCCTGGGTCTCACATGGCCTGGGGTTGCAGATTTGATAGAATTGGTAGAGCCTCTCAAACTTAATTTAAGCATAAAGTAATGACTTGGCTGTGAGGAACTGGGGAAGACATGCGGGTCATGTTTATTCTGTATCTAGACCTGAACTGGCCCTCCTCTTAGCTTTTGCTTTTGAGGTGATTTTATGTCCCAATATTACCAGACTTTGGTTGAACACATCCACCAGCTTGCTTTCTGTGTTTCCTGCTACATGCACTCAAGTGATCTCTCTGTTCTCATAAACTGTCTGCTACTTACCCACCTGCTTTCTTTTTCAGACAAACAAACAGAAATTGGAAGCTTTGATTCACTGGCCTTTTGTTCCTACTCTCTTTTTGTGAGCTTCTAGCTTTTCAGTATTCTCAATTTTTTTTTTTTTTTTTTTGGTTTTTCGAGACAGGGTTTCTCTGTGTAGCTTTGCGCCTTTCCTGGAACTCACTCTGTAGCCCAGGCTGGCCTCGAACTCACAGAGATCCGCCTGGCTCTGCCTCCCGAGTGCTGGGATTAAAGGCGTGCGCCACCACCGCCCGGCAGTATTCTTAATTTTTCACACATAACAGCTAATTATTTTTAGCACCTGTGCCCCTTTCTCCCCACCCCTCCTTCCCTTTTCTCCTCCTTTCCCTGTTCCTGCTGGGGATATAACCCAGGGCCTCACACATATTAAATAAACATTATACTAGGGAGGCTTGTCCTATCCCTATCTGATCTTAAATATCAAAATTTGTGTCTCTTGTTAGACTTTGATAAGGGACAGAAACATACACTTGGTTGACCTACTTCAAAATGGACTCTCAAAGATTTGATCCCATGTAAATAGTGTTGTTCCTTGTAGCAGTAGGGGAGCTTGTGGTAAAGTGAAGATACTTCTGACCTCCCCTAAAGACTTTTCCATAAATGTTTGAAGGTAACGAAGAAGGATATTTCACAGCCATACTGTTGAAGAAAGGAAGAGTGAAATTTAAAAATCAAGAGATTGTTCCTTTTCCAAATACCAAAATGATGAGAAACCTTCTATGTGTGAATGTAAGTTTTTAAGTTTGAGGGTTTTTTGTTTGTTTGTTTGTTTTTGAAGGAATTGTCTTTACAGATAAATTTGTTCCTTATATAGATACTCTTTTTTAGTATTTGTTTATGTGCGTCAGTTAGGACTTTTGGAACTCAGTTCTCTCCTTCTACCACAGGTTCCAGGGATCAAACTCAGGTGGTCAGGCTTTTGTGGCAGGGGCTCTTACCTGCTGAGCCATATCACTGGGACAATCCCATCATCATCCATCATCCCCGCCCCCGTTTTCTCTGTGTAGCTTTGAGACTTTCTTGGAACTCACTCTGTAGCCCAGGCTGGCCTCGAACTCACAGAGATCTGCCTGCCTCTGCCTCCTGAGTGCTGGGATTAAAGGCGTGCGCCACCACCGCTGGCTGGAACAATTCTTTCAATCCTGTTTGTATATCTGTCTGTAAGTGTGGGTCTGGAGGTCAGAGGACAACTTTGGGGAGTCAGTTTTCTCTTCCCACTGTGGTTCTATGTATTGCTGTCAGGTCATCAGTTTTGTGAAGCAAGTGATTTACCCACTGAGCCAGCTCATTGGCCCTTTACAAATACATTTTAAATAGTCTTCAAAAACTTAGATTTCCAATTAATTTCAGATACAAACAAACTTATCAAAGTTAAATTCCTAACTGATTAGATGTTTTCTTAAGAATATTGCAACATTTGGCTGAGGAGAACGTTTGTCAAGTAATTTGTTACAGCAATGAGAACAATTACCACTGCATAGCTCAAAGGATCATTAGCACTTGGGCTCAGGGTTGAGGGAAGGCCTGGTAGTGGGAGTGTGAAGCGGCTAGTCCTGTAGGTGCAGAGTTAGTTAGGAATTAGATGAAAGTGGTACTCAGCTTGCTTTCTTTTTCCCCCCTTTTTAATTCAGTGTGTGAATGAACCCTGTGGAAATGGAAACACCCATGACAGACAGACCTTTGCAAGTCACTGCAAGGGTTAACCTGTGGGTGTGAATGAGCGTTACGTTCACGTTAGTGTGACGGACACTTATTTTTCTCATTAGTGCGACACAGTACTTGACAAAAGCAACCTTAAAAGGGATTATTTTAGCTCATAGTTTGAGGATTCTGACGTCATAGTGATGAGTACGGCAGGAGCAGCTCGTCACATTGTGTCCACAGTCAGAAAGCAGAGCCATGACTGCTACTGCTCAGCTCAGTTTCCCCTTTTTGTTCAGTTTAAGACTCCTCTCACACTGATGCCCTTACTTACATTTAGGGTGGGTTTTTCTACCTTAAGTAACCTAATCGAGAATACTACTCAGACATTCCCAGAGATTACCCTGAGTATGGAAAGGTAGTGGAGTATGACAGGAGGTTGAGAAGTAGGCAGGATCCAGTTTGTGACCTTTTATAGTAGTCTTTTTACCTTGCAATAGCATTCTAGAAAGGTGTGAGCTATTGATGGCCTGGGGTTACTGGGGAAGGGGCACAGTTGAGGTACTATGTGAATAGTTCTTGCTTGCTAAATAGTTGTCATAGGTGAGGTTGGCACCTTGTGCTTCTTTTCATCTAGGATAGTGCTGACTGTGTAGTTGCAGTTGAGTAAGTAAATCCCAGTTGATTGACTAGTCTGCTGTTAGAGTCTGTTACCAGCACTGGTGGGTAGTCAGTGGCCTGTTCAATTGTAATTATCCTGTTGTAGGTGAGTTTGGGTGGAAATGAATTTTGCCTTATGACGTCCCATTTGGAGAGCACCAGAGAACATTCTGCAGAACGAATAAGTCAATTAAAAACAGTTTTTCGGAAAATGCAAGAGGCTCCAGATTCAACTACTGTTATATTTGCAGGAGATACAAATTTAAGAGATCAAGAAGTAAGTAACAGAGTTGGTTCACTGTTTGTGGAGAGGTTATTGCTGTGGAAACTAATTTGGGTTCCCTTTATCAAAAATGTGGACTCGGAAATACAAGGTAGAGAACACTTGTAGTTTTTGTATAAAAAGAGGCCTTTACCCTATTAGGGGAAATCCTACTACATGTGGTACAGACAATATAAAACAGTATATATTTTGGATAGGTAAGTATTGGAATAAAATAATAATTAGAAGAGCTTAGAAAAGATGGAAGGTATTTGTAGCATCCCTAGGTACAAGGTACAATCCTCTTTTCTGAATTGAATCCAACTTTATTTTTGTTGGTAGAACCTAGGGCCTCTTACATGCTAGGCAACACTGCTGACCTACACCTCTAGGATTTTGTTTTTATTCTGTTTTATTCTATATGTTTAGACCTTTCAGATAAAAAGTTACTAGAATTTAATTTTATATGTGTGTACATTTCAGTCAGAGCACCACTTGGGAGGTTTGGTTCTCTCCTTCCTTCATGGGGTCCTGGGGTGGAACTGAGGTCTTAAGGCGTGGCAACAGGAGCCTGTACTGGTGGAGCCATATCATTGGCCCCAGATTTTTGAGATTTTAATAATTACAAAAGAGATGCAGTCACACTAACCGTGAACAGAATATGGTGGTGTGTTATCTGAACAAAAATTTTGCTGATATGTCATGATTCATCACCTTTTTACCCCATACTCCTGACATTGCTGTGATCAGTTCTGAAGCAAAATAGTAGTTTAGTTTAGACACATGAGGAGTTTTCAGGACCTCAGAAAATTAAATACAGGATTACCATGTGATCCAGCATTTCCTACTTTGAGGAGTGAAAGCAGGACTGGAAAAGATGTGTGTACACTTGAGTTGATAGCATTGTTATGTACGAGATCCAAAATATCCGAGGAACCATTGCAGGTGAGTTAGAAATAGAGTGTATGTAAATAGGTTGGTTGCACACACTCAGGAGCCAGGCAGTGCTGTGACACAATCCTGTCAATCTACTGAAGGCCCCAGAATTGTGCACACAGATGATTTAAAGGGATTAAAGTGGTTGGGTGTATGTGCTCTGCCACACATAAAAACTTTATTTTTTTCATGCTGGAGATAGAACATGGTGTGCCTATCGTAATAGCTCATAAAAATTTATATTATATAATGTGAATGGGGAAAGAAAAACAATATTATTAGGGTTTGGTCTGGTTTTGGTTTGGTTTTCTTTTTTAGTGTGACTCCCAGGCATAGTAGTGCATGCCTTTAATCCAAGCACTTGAGAAATAGAGACAGATAGACCTCTGTGAGTTTGATGCCAGCCTGATCATAGTCATAGTCAGTTCTCAAAAAAACAAAATTTTCAGCCGGGCGGTGGTGGCGCACGCCTTTAATCCCAGCACTTGGGAGGCAGAGGCAGGTGGATCTTTGTGAGTTCGAGGCCAGCCTGGTCTACAGAGCAAGATCCAGGAAAAGGTGCAAAGCTACACAGAGAAACCCTGTCTCAAAAAACAAAAAACAAAAACAAAACAAAACAAAAAACACAAAATTTTCAAAAAATTAAATAAAAAGTTACATTATAGGTGATAATATCAAACACCTTTTAAATTGAGCAGGGGGTAGGGGGTTGTAAATATATAAACCTTACATGATATTCTTTCTCTTTTCCAGGTTACCAAATGTGGCGGTTTACCTGATAATGTTTTTGATGCCTGGGAATTTTTGGGCAAACCTAAACATTGCCAGTATACATGGGATACAAGAATAAATACTAATCTCAGGATTCCTGCTGCTTGTAAGCTTCGTTTTGATCGAATATTTTTCAGAGCAGAAGCGGGCCACCTTATTCCCCAAAGTTTAGACCTTGTCGGGTTGGAAAAACTGGACTGTGGTAGATTTCCTAGTGATCACTGGGGTCTCCTGTGCACCTTGAATGTAGTATTGTGAAAAGCTTTCCAGATTTGAGCTTTACATGTTTATAGTAGTTCTGGATTCGTGCAGATCTCAACCTTTCAGGAAAGCTAGGTTTAACACAGACGAATTAATAAACTGGATCATTAGTACAGCAAAAACAGTTACATTTTACTTTGTACCTTGTGTCCTCAGAATTAAGAACTGGTGTTTGCAGTCAAAGTGTGCTTGTGTTCAGAATATGTGGGCTTTTGCTGAAAGGACACAGCCACTCAACTTGTAACAGTGCTCATTGTCATCAAGACTTCAGGTAGTGGCCATCTTGTCTCAGGGCTAACCTTCACAGCACTATTGTTAGGCACCAAAATAATATTAAACCACTTTATTAAGAGAAAAAGCAAGTTACTGAATTCTTGAGACTGCATTGTGTCTTATGTTTTGTAAGTTCAGAAACTTAAGTGAAAAAGCCATGACCATCTGCAGTAGATGACAGATGTTGTATATCAAATTTGCACTTTGAATTTCAGTAACTTCTGATTAATGTTAGTTTTCTGATAAGTGACAAAATTAAGCTTGGTAATGATTACACCCAGCTTAAGCAACATGGGAATTTTCTTCTTAGAGAAAAATTCATGAAAATAAGTAACCTTTGGTTTTGTTACTGGTAAGATGGAAATACTTTTCAGGAAGTGAATAAAGAATACATTTTTAAAAAATGTTCTGTAAAGAAAAAAATGTACTGTAAATAAAGCGTTTTACTAATTTGTAGACTATGATTTCTCTGTCCTTGATAGGATTTTTTGTTCTACTAACATTGGGAAAACAACCTCACATGTTGCTTTTCAGTGGGAATCACCAAGAAATCTGTGTGTTTTATTCTATTAAACCCTCAGCACTTTGGAAGCTATGTCAGGAGGATTGCCATTAGTTTAAGGCTAGCCTGGGCTACAGAGTAAGACCCAGACAAAAACAAAAGCTCTAACCTTGAAAGAGCAGTGTGATGCACCTATTTTAGCAGTGTAGTAGTGGAGGAGGATGGTGCTGGCTCATTTGGTAGAATTAAGTTTTAAGGGATCACATTGTTGGTTGGTTTTTTGTTCTTTTGGGGGTCCTGCCACTCAGCTCCCAAATAAATCATACACAGAGGCTTATTCTTAATTATGAATGCCTGGCCTTAGCTTGGCTTATTTCTTGCCAGCTTTCCTTAGCTTACTATCCTGTTCTCTTACTTCTGGAACTCTTACTCTTTACTCCATGGCTTGCTGCGTAGCTGCCTCCTGGAGTCCCCCTCCTCCTCTGGCTACTCCCTTTTCTCCTTCCAGATTTCTATTTATCCTCTCTGCTTGCCAGCCCCACCTATTTCTCTCTCCTGTCTCACTATTGGCCGTTCAGCTCTGTATTAGAGCATCAGGTGTTTTAGACGAAGTAACACAGCTTCACAGAGTTAAACAAATGCAACATAAATAAAAGTAACACACTTTAAAATAATATTCTACAAGATCACAATATGAAATGGGGGATGTATTATACTATTAGACCATCAATTTGTTATGAAAACATGAAAGTTATCATTTCTGTTATGTAAGTGTCTACATAAAATGCTTTCCTTGTTTATCACTTTGGACAAAATGTCAGGAAAAGAACAATCCACTGTAGTCTTCAATGGGCAACAGTTTTCAAATGGGAAGAATTGAGAGCGTAGTAATTTGTAAGATGTTGAGATTTTTAAAATTTGAACAGAAAAGAAAAACTCTTAGTGAAATTCCAACTCACAGTTGGTAGCAGGCAAGTGCTCTGCCATTAAGCTACATCATGAGGTCAGTGGTTTAGCTGTGCCCCCCCCACCTCCCCCACCTTTGGTAAGTACAGTTTTTGCCGTCCATGTGCAGTGCAGCAATGTATTTTAACCTTGTTGAACTTGAGTTTACCCCTTCAAAATAAGATAATTCCATGCTTTTATTGTGAAAAAATTTCTAGCAAACATACAAGTGAACAATCAAAAAACTACAAATGCTTGAATCACTTTCTCTTTGAACCTGTCTGGCAGCTAATGGGAGGTCAGTGAATGTCCACCGAACACCAGACCAGAGATGTGATTGTGGTTTCACATCCCTTAGAAGGAGACTGGCATTTCCTTCAGTGTGTTCATGATGTGTGTGTAAATGAAAGACAAGCTGATTTTCTTTTTCCTTTTTTTTTCTTTCTTTTTTTTTTGGCGTGATACTCCCACTTGGTTGTTTTGGAGGGGGAAAGGAAGTTGAACGTAGCTCCTCATTTTGTAATTGTCATCTGTAGGGATGTATGGTTGACTTGTTTATCTCCATCAGTATCTGCTATTACTTCATCTTACTCCATTTCACTCCTGAATTTATTTGTCATGGTGGGGGATGGGGGTGCGGGACGGGACGGGACGGGACGGGACGGGGGCAGTTGTACACTGATGTAACCATTTCCATCTTTGTCAGACTGCCACCTGAAGTTCTTCACTGTCTGCATCATGACAGAAGATGTCTTCCGTAGCTTTGCTGTTGCCCTTTACGTACCGTTTTTTCCAGTCAGGGTTTCTCTGTGTAGCCCTGTCTGTCTAGGGCTCCCTCTAGACCACGTTGGCTTTGAGCAGCTTGAGAACTTAAATTTAAGGCGTGTACCCCTTCTCAGTTTGACACGCTCACTCCCTCCCACCCCCTAAACAGCTCATTATCTCCATTAGTGCCCATTTTCATCCGATATGGTGCTTTTAAATGTATGATTGCTCACTTTGGCAGCACGTATATTAAATGTATGATGTCTATAAGTACATGTGGAGGCCTGAGGGCAGTTTGTGGAGTCATTTCCATTTTTATGTAGATCTCAGGGATCTAACTTGGTTAAAAAAAAAAAATGCCTCGCTGAGCCATCTCACCTCCCCTTCCCCCTTAAAGTCTGACTAAGCAGCTTGGACTGGCCTAGAACTTGCTAGATGCACCAGGACAGCTTCAAACTTGGTGATCATCCTGACTGCCTCACTCTGTCTGGCTTTTTAATTTATCGTTTGAAAGAAGGTCTCAGTATGTAGCCATTCTCCTGCCTCAGCCTTTTGAGTTCTGGTATTACTAGAGTGTACTACTGCTCTTTGGTCATCTCCGTTCTGCACCTTTTAATAGGTTTGTAACTTGTCTGAGGTGTCTCCACAAAGATGCCAGTGGAGACTTACTCTTCTGGTGTGCAACTCTTGTCTTTAAGCCACGATGATGGGATGTATAAGGAATATTCTGCCCACCTTTTCTGCCCTTTCATACCAATTCCTAGATACTTTGATGTCCTTATTATAATACTAAAAATAAAGTGTTCCTCCATCCATTTCCTCTGACTCAGATTCTCACTACAAGACACATTTCGAAATGCACTCGGCATCCATTTAACCTTGCAAAGTACAGAGTTGATCTGTGACGTAGACTCAGGTTTCCATCCTTGATCTGAAAGCAGCATTCAAAACCAGGAAGATAAATTATATTGGGGCCGGGTGGGGAGTGCAAAGGGCTCGGCTGAAAAAAAGGCTTGAATAGCCAGGACTTGACTTGGAGGAGTCTGAGCTAGGCAGTTGCGTGCTGTTTCTGAAACACCTATCCATCCCAGCATTTTGGAACCATGGCCGGGAAGAGGTGGGCAGGGGGACCAGGGAAACAAACTGGTCGCTCTGCTTAGTGGAGTAGTGCGGGCTGCGGCACAGGCCATCCCTAGGGGCGTGTGTGCGCGTGCGTGTGCGTCGCCCTGGTAACCCGGGAGGCGGAAAGGCGCTGAATCACCAGCGTCTGTGCAGCCGCAGGGGTAGGCAGGTGTCGCCTGCAGGTGTGCCTCTAAGGTGTCCTGACTGGACACCAGCTTATGGGCTGTGGGGAGCACCACGGAGCCTGGAGATTGCTAGGGATGGAGGTAAGAACCGCACTCCGCCGCCGGCGTTCCTGTTTTGATTGATGGATTCTCAGCAGGGTGGAGTCAGGGAGACTTGGGTATCTAACAAACCTCAAACCCAAGAATCCGTTTCTTTAAAGTTCATTCAGTGCTATCATTTGCTAAATGCATTTCGTATCTGCTACGTGTAGCAATCAGAGGCTTTCAATCTGGAGTCCAGGTCCCCTGATTTCTAACCAGGGTCTATTTGGGGTTCTGCGTTACCTCTGCCTAGGGATGGAGGGTGTGAATGTGTTTGTGAGGCTGGGTGGTGGGGTGTTGAGTGAAGCTCCAGTGAACCAGCAGTGCCCAGCTTCAGTGTCCCCACAGCCACCTCAGGTGCAGAACCCCATCTCCCAGCCCAGTTGGCCAAGTGTCAGCAACGGAAGACAGCAAGCAGGTAGGTGATGCCAGTGAAAAGCAACCAAGAGGCGGACTTCTGAGGGTTCCTCTAGACACCTAGGAAAGCAATCCCGGAGAGCTGCATGATTTGATGGTTTCCCTGTATGGTGGAGGGGGGAGATTTGGCGATCTTTCAAATCTTTGAAATCTCATGCCTTAGACATTAGACAATTCTTCAGAATTGTGACCTTTAAATTCCGTTTAGTGCTGTTGACATGGTCCTTGCTACCATTTGCCAAATGGCATTCATTTATCTCCTCTCCTTACTGTCGCCTAAAGCTTAATGGTGTTTAAAGGCTTTCTTTCCTGCTCTTTGAATCCCCTCCAAGGAATGGCACAGATTGACCAGGAGCACAAAGCTGGAGTCGTTAGTCATCATTCTCAACACCATTTGTTCTCATAATTGGATGGAGGGAGAAAGCAGTGTGATCATATTCGTGCTCATGTTTATTGCTGGTTTTCCTGAACATTTTTGTTTGTGAGTTAAATGTTGATACTTTTTCCACTGCTTGAACAGAAAAGTTGAATATTTTTAATAATGGAAAAAAATTATAGATCACATTCTGTAAACAATACAAAAATTTTTGAAGTGGATGTGTGTATTACTTTATTCCTGAAATGCTTGGTGCCTGTGAAAATTCTTCAGTGAGACAACTAAAGTTATGCCACATGTAAATTTTTATTTTGTGCTCATGATTTTACTTATTTCTAATGCAGATGGGGCAAAGTGGATATATCAGTTCAGTTCTAAACTTAGACCTCACAGAGAAGTCTAAATTCTCTGCAATTTGAAAAAGATATAAAAAACATGTAGCAGGAACTTTTAGAACCACAGGTTAACAGGAACACCCATCACATCTTTGCTGTGTAAAATGCCAAAGCAGGGCACACATTTTATGTCAGAAAAATACAAATAATTCAACTAACACTCTCACAATTTAGAAAGCTGAAGGAGAGCGCCAGTAAATTCTAAAAGAATGCATGTGTTTAAGTTTTTTTTCCTTGACAACACCACCACCAGCAGCACCCCACCACCCTACCTGACCCCCACCAGAGAATCATTCTTTTTAAATAAATCTGTAGAAGTAGGGCTGTCTCTTTAGAGGGCTAGAGTTGCCTGACATAGATACCATGATGAGAGAGATGGCCTGCTTAGGGTTGTGGTTCAGCTGTTAGTGGCAACCTGAAATTAGGGAAACTACCCTCTAAGCCCGAGGCTCCTCATCTGTAAAATACAGAAAATAGTAAGACCTACTCAGAGGAATTCCTGTAAGAATTAAAACAAGGCTAGAGAATCTCCCACGCTGGGCTGCAAGGACTGCTCAAACCCAGGTGTTGCGGGCCAGCTTGGAAACATAGAGGTGACACTGGTTTGTTGTTGTTGTTTTTAGTCAACATTTTAATTTTCTGTGTGTGTGTATGTCTGCCATACAGAGAATTTGAACTCCTGGAGCTAGGATTCAAGGCAGTTGTGAACACTCTGACACAGGGACTAGGATCTGAACATAGGAGTCTATTTACAAAATTAGCAAGATGAGATAATATGTACACAGATGCTTTTTATTTATTTATTTTTCTATTATCAGCTTGATACAGTATAAATTCTTATCCTAATAGTGAAATGTTTCATTGAGGCTTGCCCAGTAATTGATTAAACCCAAAACTTACTATAAGCCACAGTCATCCTAGGGTCCCCCCTGCTAGGTAGCCTCCCTGGTTCTGTGGGTTGCAGTCTGATTGTTCTTTGCTTTATATCTAGTATCCACTTATGAGTGAGTATATACCATGTTCATCCTTCTGGGTTTGGGTTACCTCACTCAGGATGATATTTTCTAGTTCCATCCATTTTGCCTGCAAATTTCATGCTGTCATTGTTTTTCTCTGCTGAGTAGTACTCCATTGTGTATATGTACTATGTTTTCTTTTTTTTTTTTTTTTTTTTTTTTTTTTGGTTTTTCGAGACAGGGTTTCTCTGTGTAGCTTTGCGCCTTTCCTGGGACTCACTTGGTAGCCCAGGCTGGCCTCGAACTCACAGAGATCCGCCTGGCTCTGCCTCCCGAGTGCTGGGATTAAAGGCGTGCGCCACCACCGCCCGGCTATGTACTATGTTTTCTTAATCCATTCTTCAGTTGACGGGCATCTAGGTTGTTTCCAGATTCTGGCTATTACAAATAGTGCTGCTATGAACATAGTTGAGCATGTATCTTTGTGGTATGACTGAGCATTCCTTGGGTATATGCCCAAGAGCCCAAGAGTGGTATGGCTGGGTCTTGAGGTAGATCGATTCCCAATTTTCTGAGAAACTGCCATACTGATTTCCACAGTGGTTGTACAAGTTTGCATTCCCACCAACAGTGAAGGAGTGTTCCCTTTGCTCCGCATCCTCTCCAACATTGACTGTTTTTGATCATAGCCATTCTGACAGGTGTAAGGTGGTCTCTCAGAGTCATTTTGATTTGCATTTCCCTGATGATTAAGGATGGTGAGCATTTCTTTAAATGTCTTTCAGCCACAAATGCTATTGTTTTTAGGAACCGCCCCCCTTTGAGACAGTTTATCTGTGTAGCTTTGTCTATTCTGAAACTTGTTCTGTAGACCAGGATGACCTTAAACTCAGAGATCCGCCTGCTTTGAGTGTTGGGATTAAAGGCCTGAGCCGCCATACCACACCCAGTTTAATCTCTGCATTCAGGTAGGATGATCACTCTATCAAATTCAAGGCCAGTTTGGACTATTTGAGATCCTGTCTCAAAAAGAAAGAAACAAGAAAACTAAATAAATAAGTTCTATTTTTAAAGATTTAAGAAATGTATTTATGTGACTGTATGTATATTACATGCATCTGGGAACCCACAGAGGCCAGAAGAGAGTGCTGGATCCTTTGGAGGTGGAGTTACAGGCGGTTGTGAGCTGCCTCTTATGAGTGCCAGGAACCAAACTTGAGTTCTCTGGAAGAGCAGCAAATCCTCTTAGCCACTGAGCCACCTCTCCAGTCCAATAAAAGTTATTTTTGAAATAAAAAGTGTTCAGGAAAAAAATTTATTTCTTCAAAATAATATGTCACTAAAGGTAGAATTATTTTAATATGGCTAATAGTTTTTCTGATGTATAAAGTCAAGTTTCATTAGAAACATCAGAAAGTTCATACATCTTTCCTTGTAATATCTTTATAAAAACAATAACAGATAAAATCTAAATGCATGCCAATTTAATGCCCAGTTAATTACATTTAATACTCTAAGAAAGGAGAGTTGCTTCAGCAGGCATGAAATAACTGGTGGGTTATTGTTCTATTTCCTTTAAAAATCTATTTTACAAGACAGCCAAGACGACATAGACCCTGTATCAAAAAAAAAAAAAAAACACATAACACAAATCCCATCCATTAGAGCTCAGCCCTTATTATCACACTTCTTCAAATGAGTGTAAGTTTCAAATTCACAGTGTAGCACCTGTTAGAATATCTTAGACTGGGGACATTTTATTTTCTGCCAATTCTCAGAAGCTGTTGACCCTTGTATTACATTTTTTTCATCAACTTTGTTGAAGTATAGTTGACTAATACAAATTGAGCTGAGCATTATTGATACATGTCTGTAATTCTGGCACTTGGAAGAGGGAGGCAGGAGGATCTGAAATTCAAGGTCATCCTTGACTACCTAGTAAATTTGAAATTCATCTGGGCTACATGAGACACCCCTGTCCAGAATAGAAATCCACAAAACCAAACAACAACAACAACAAACCCCCCAACAACAAAACCCTACCACCAGGGCCAGGGAGATGGCTTAGTAGGTAAAGGCTCCTCCCACCAAACCTGCCAACCTGAGTCTGAGCCCTGGTACCACATAATTGAAGGAGAACTAGTTCCCATTAGTTGTTCTTTGACTTTAATACATGTGCTGTGGCATGCATAAACCCACCCACATACGCACACACACCATACAAATAAATGAAAATGTTAAACACACACACACACACACACACACACACACACACACACACACACACACACACATACATTTACCATGGGTATATGTTATATACATAGTGATTTCACAATCCATCTAATTAATCTATCCGTCACCCCATATACTTGCCTATTTTTGTGTGTGATAAAAACAATTAAGTTTTTTTTTCTCTTAACAAATGTATAGGATAGCATAGCATTTTAAAGTATAGTCATATCATGGTTCTGTGTGGTAGATCCCAACAACTGACTCATCTTGTTACCATTCAGCTGGCTGGGGTCCTTTTGCTCTACCTAGAAGTCATGAATAGAGCCAATATTGCTGTTCTGGTGCCAGTAGTTCTAGGTCCTCAGATGCCCAATGTTGACCCAAAGGCTTTCAATTGTGCTAAGCCCTAAAACCCAAGAGCCGATTGCTCCTGACTTTAGAAGCTAGAGACTTAGGACGCTGAGCAATGGGTTGGAGGCTCTGACTGGGCTATTCCACTTGCAGCCTTAGCACGTGGCTGTAATCCTTACCTTCCAGCAGCAGGTGGTGCCTGCTTACATCAAAACTGCTGGGAAAGCCTTGGGGATTGGGACCTTCAGGTCTAAGTGTCCACCTTGACAG